ACACAGATGCAAAAATCCTTAATAAGATACTGGCAAACAGAATGCAGAAGATCATCAAGAAGATCATACACCCTGACCAACTGGGATTCATCCCAGGGATGCAAGGATGGTTCAACATATGCAAATCAAAAAATGTAATACAGTATACAAATAGAGCCAAGGACAAAAATGATATGATCATGTCAATAGATGCAGAAAAAGCATTTCATAAAATCCAACATGCATTTATTATAAAAACCCTACAAAAATTGCAATAGACAATCTCAACCTCAATCTGATACAAGCCATCTATGAAAAACCAACAGCCAATATCATACTAAATGGTCAAAAACTGAAATCCTTCACACTAAAATCAGAAACAAGACAAGGATGTCCAATGTCAAAACTCTTCTTCAATATAGTTCTGGAAACATTAGCCACAGCAATTAGACAGGAGAAAGAAATAAAAGGAATAAAGATAGGAAATGAAGATGTCAAATTGTCATTATTTGAAGATGACATGATACTCTATATAGAAGACCCTAAGAACTCCACCAAAAGTCTTCTAGACTTAACAGCCAAATTCAGTAAAGTAGCTGGATACAAGGTCGACAAACAAAAATCAGTGGCTTTTCTGTACACAAAAAAAGACTTACTGAGAGAGAAACAGTGCAATCCATTCCTTTCTCAATCTCTGAAAAATATAGCACTCTGAAAAAAGTGATTAAAGAGGATATCAGAAAATGGAAAGACATCCCTTGCTCCTGGGTAGGAAGAATTAACATAGTGAAAATGGCCATACTTCCAAAACTGCTATATAAATTCAAGGCAATCCCAATTGAAACCCCAACAGCATACTTCACAGACCTGTAGAAAACAATCCAAAAATCCATTTGGAACAAGAAGAGACCTAGAATAGCAATAGAAATACTAGGCAATAAAGACAAGGTAGGGGTATCTCAATCCCCAACTTGAAACTATACTACAATGCTACTGTGATGAAACCAGCATGGTACTGGCAAAGAAACAGACCCGAGGACCAATGGAACAGAATAGAAGATGCAGAAACAACTCCAGACACACTCAGGCACCTCATCTTTGATAAAGGAGCCAAACACCCTAACTGGAGGAAAGATGGCCTGTTCAATAAATGGTGCTGGTCAAACTGGGTTTCAACTTGCCAAAGATTAAAACTAGACCTATATCTCTCACCATGCACTAAACTAAAATCAAAATCGATTAAGATCTAAATATTAAAACAAAAACACAACCAGCTGGAAGAGAGGTTAGGTAGAACTCTCTAAGATACTGGCATAGGAAAAGATTTTTTGAACAAAACCTCAGTTGCCCATGAATTAGTACAAACAAGCAGCAAATGGGACCTTTTCCCACTAAAAAACTTCTGTACAGCAAGAGAAACCACCAGCAGTATGAAGAGACAACCTACAATGTGAAAAACAGTTTTCACCAGCTATCCTTCAGACAAAGGTCTACTATGTAAAATATATAAAAAACTTTAAAAAATCACACCTCCCAAATTTAAAGACCCAATCCAAAAATGGGCTTCTGAAATGAACAGACATTTCTCAGACAAAGAAGTAGAAATAGCGAATAAATACATGAAAAAATGTTCAACATCACTGGTCATTCGAGAGATGCAAATGAAAACAA